AAAATATGTGTCGCATAATAATTCAATTCTAATTATTTATTATTTGTAAACAATCTAATTTGAAAGCAAAAAAGCTGCTTCCTATTTTGTTAATATTAGCGTACGTGAGAACAATTTAATAATATAAAATAGAGAATCAACCTTATCATCAAATTCAAATGATATTCTCCTTCCATATTTCAATAGATTTGAAAACACAAAAACGTTTATCTATTATTTATATTTGAAAGACCATAAGTTGGATTACATTTCAATAAAAAGTAAATTATTATTAATCATTTTCTCTTGCGTATACATTTTGTTAACAAAGAATGTTTTATACATATGTTTTTATACAGGTATTAAACAAAAACTAAGATTTTTTGTATGTCATCGGCTTCAACTGCTAAGGTTATTTCGCCTCTTGTTCTGTGTAAGCTTTCCCAGCTAGCACAAAAACATCCCATCTACGTTAATAAGCTGCAATTTTAGGCCCTTTAAGCTCACATGCAATGTACTTTTAATGTAACCCTAATATCCCTGCAACCACCGACTGTCCGCAACGGCAAGACTTTTATAGCGCATCTCACAGAAGTTAAAAAGTGAAGTTCGGAAAACATCACACTAGCACTTTTACGGTACTTACCCTGAAAGTTGCTCTGAAACTTTCTATAGATGTTATAATGTGAATTAGCTCTACTGCATTATACAGTGTGTCCACGGATGGACTTGTGAAAATATTTATTTTAAATTAAAAAAGTAATTCTTCATAATTTACTTGTTAAATAAATTCGATTCACATTAAGAAATTATGAAAAATAACTTTTTTTAATTTAAAATAAATATTTTTACAAGTATAATTAAGTCCATCCATGGACACACTATATTGTTCTTTGTGTAATGTAATACGGAGAGGCTGAAATTGAGGTATAGTAAAAACTCAATCGAGACATGGAAATTTCAAATAAAACAAAATATTTATATAAATTTATTATTAAAATGTTCTTGAAATCAAGTAGTAATATCACAAAAGTAGAGGTAGGTATATCACAAATGCAGTTACACATGTATAGTAGAAGCCACCTATAAAGCACTGAACGATTGGACAAAATTTGCTTAATAGTAATAATAAGGTATCAATATTGCAAAGGTTCACTAGAAGCTTAAACAGTGAACGATTGTACAAAAGTATATTTATATAAGGTACGTTTCAAGATGGCAATTGTATGATGCAAAAAAAAACTAGATCTGTGAATAATAGATGATTGCAACAATGACTTAGGTATATATCATGAGATAGCTGAGGTTCCAGATTGCTTATCTGTACTCACAGAGATATATCATCTTTTTAAAATCAAACCTTTTAACTTTTTTTTTGTATAGATATTTATATATTTTTATTTTGTTAGTTTATTATTTATACAAAGGTGAACAAAAATTATTTTATTCTAACTACATATTGAATAAAAAAGAGATTGACCTACTTGTTTAACTATTATTGAAGGAAATTATATAGAAAGTAAAAAAATATACTCAAGTTTAAATCGTTGCACTTATTTTTAGGTAATTTTGTCTTACTTTGTTGTTTTAAATAAAACCTCTAATTTTTTTTTTAGAATTTCACAAATTTTATGCATAATTATGGATTTCCAAGTTAGTATGAAGATTTTATAAAAAAAACAACTCATGTTTTTTAGCAAGATATTCTGATGTATGCTCGAGGGCATCTTCTGTGATTTTTCTCAAATTTTCTTCTAGTTTGGCACTTGCTTGAATCTGATGTTGTTTTTTTTTAATATAGACGTACCATGTAGATTCACTTTTTATAAAACTTCAGATGTCATATAGCTATTCTTCTTTAGACAAGTCTGTAGTATTTATTTTGCTTCTAAAATTCTTAGAATGTTTTCAGGTACAAAGAAAATCTAAAATAAAATATTTTTAAAATGTATTTTTAGTTCGATTAAGTATATTATTACCCAGAAGTTTGCTACATTCTTAGAAAAGTGGAATCACATATTGTGGATTTTGTTTCTTGTAAAAGATGGGCCCCTAAATCTGTGATAAGTTCAACCTCTCCATGCTCCCCTAAAATCACATACCAATAGTGTTATTTTATTTTAGGCCTTTATTTATCATTTACTGTAATTATCTTATGAATAATTATTTATATAATAACTTAGTGGGTCTTTTGTTGAACTGAAATATTACCTAAAACACACATGTTAGCGACATGCATAGGAATCTCAATTTATATAGCTATGATTCACTTGCACCCCCTTGCTGAGGCTTTGGCACCTCCAGAAGCCATCATCAGTTATTACCGCACCCTGAACGATCACCAGTTTGATTGCAGTAAGATTTATAACTTCTCAGCCACAAGTATTTCTCCAAATTTAGAAGTAGTGGCTCGTTTTGATAAATTCCTAAAATAATTCCTAAGATAAACTTGAAAAATTAAACATGTAAACTCACCTGTGCACCTTCTAGTACTAAAAGGAGGATCATAAGATAAATTGTATCGTATCGTTAATACCATCAACACATTAACAGCTTTAATAACCATTTGTAGGGGATTATAAACCACAGGGTAAATTGTGCATAAGCTAAAAGAGATATTATATCAAATCACAGTTAGATATACTTTTATTAATACCTTCACTCTCCGAATCATTAAATTTTAAGATCCAGCTAGGGAAAAAGGAATTACTGCCACCACTTACATCCTTAAATAGGCCAGTAACGTGGCAACTTAGTTTTTTATATCTCTTTCATAAGGTATTTCAAGTATTTAGAGGTCCTTATTTTATAATTTCATAAACCAAGTCCTTCTATCTAGCTTCTAACAAAGTTATCAGATATTTCCGGACATTTTTATAATTATAAGTGGTAAAATAGGTATCATCTACGATGAAAGGTCTCCAAACAGCCTATTATACTTCTTAGGTCCTCAAGACGTTGATTATTATCCATATCAGCAATTCCTTGTAGCTTTCTAGATGTCAATCATTCAATATACTTCTTAAGCCCTCAAGACGTTAATCACTATCCATTAAACGAGCCATTGTTCGAGGGCCAAATATCATTCTTGTAAATTCAAATGATCCAATACCATAAATTGAAAAGGCAGTTTTAGGTTTCGAAGTATCTGCTAAAGGAACTTGTAAAAAAGGTTTTTTTAGATTAATAGAGGTAAGAAATTTTGCATATCTTGCCCTACTTAAACTAGAATCAACTAAATACATTGAATAACTATCAGAAACAGTGTGTTGATTTAACCGTCTACTATCCAAACAATCGTTTTTTAGTACTTGAATTATTATCAACTATCCAAAGTGGACTAGACCAGAGAGAAACAGATGGTTGTATAATATATCTAATTTTAGTAATTCATTCTTTTCTTTATTAACATGTACCATCATAGCAGGTGAAGGTACTGTATTAAAATTAGTAATGTTACTAAAGAATGTGTTTTAGGCATTGCTTCTATTCTTAAATAGCAGTTACTGTTATCGTTTTTTTGTATTTTCTGAGCCGTTTGTTCAAGAGGGTCCTGGCAAATTTTGTGTATTTACTCGTCTGTCTCTCGTAACCATATTTTAAGGAACAGCCTGTATATAGTTTTTTGAACATTTAGGACAGTTCGTTAGTTTTATTTTCATAAACAAGGCGATAACAAAAAATATTTCGTTTCAAAAAACATTTTGAATAAATGTGTCCCACCTCACCACAATTTCGTCCATACGTCGGAAGCAAAGGGTACTATATCAATTTTTGGTGAAAATGGTATTTCGGCACCATATTCTTCTTCTTTAAATTATCTTTTAGAGTTATAAGACACTATGTCCGACTTTCCAATAATAAATAAGTTGTCAGTGAAAAAGTGTACTAAGTTGTATACGTCTTTAGTGGTAAAAATAACTTAAAGGCACAATGTGGAGGAAAGGAAAGTTTTAAAAAGGAAAAAGACATAGTCCCACGTACTTCTATTCTTAAATCAGCTCTTTTTCGAACAATACCTCCAATAAGTGCTAAAGAAATACATTGACCAAAACAAGTATTTTTAATCAGCAAACAAAAGTGTAATAATGTGATATCATTGCTACCATTCCTACCAACAGCATGCAATGACTCCTAATTACAGAAGAGCAGAATCTGCAAATGGATTTTCAAACCTAGGTCATGATCAAAAAAGATAGATATACCAGTCATGTCCGTGATAGCTTTAATTTAAGAAACTTTATGTTTACCTATGTTTAGCACAGGAGGTTAGATAACACCGTCAAAGTAATCATGAAAGTCATATAAGATGAAACTAATTAAATTGTTGCAATTGTATTCTATGAATGCTGGTACGTATGGTATTATATTCTAAGGTAGCCCATTGCAAACAGAATCATTTATTATCTTCCAGGTATAAAAAAATCTAAGACACATCGATTTTTATTCTAATCTTTGTATATCATACTTAACTGTCATATATCACACACTTCTCCTTCTTTTTACTGTTATTCCGGATAATATGTAAAACATTTTTGAGTTTATGTTATTTTAAAAATAGTTAAATAATATGTTTGTAATAGTCTCTTGTATTTTTTTCTTGCAGGATGAAAACCAAACAAGAACAAATATAAATCGATTAAAAAATACAAATATTTACTCTTCTGGGCAATCCTATAGTTTGAATGACGTTTCAGTATCTTAAATTTGGAATATAGGCATGAAATTAGAGTGAGATATACTAAAACTTCGTGGATATCAAAAAAAAATCCATTTTATGACCTTCCTGTAAAAAAAATTGTAGCAAAGCGAATATTTTCTTATGTTTTCTGCACAATGGCTCAATCAATATGGATCGCTGTACCATATAATTTTACCAACTATAAATTCCAATGCAAATATTTCATTTATTAAAAATAATTCTAAATTCCTTACAGCAATTACTAAAGATGCAGGAAAAGATATTCAAATTTAGCGAAATCTTGGGTCTCCCTTTAAGATTTTTACATTTTTTCGGAGTCATGTATCCCAAATTTGAATCCTCATCAGACCTAATTTTGTACTTGATAAGAGTGTCCTTTTTTATGGGTGAGTAATGTTAAAATTAAAATTAACTGAGCTGCAAATTTTCAATTATTTATACACTTATTTATAAATTATTTAAAAATTATTTATTTTTTAAATTATCTATAAAAGTATTTATAAAATTATTTATAAAATAATTTATACAATTACTTATACAATTATTTATACAATTATTTATACAATTATTATTACAATTAGTTATACAATTATTTATACAATTATTTATACAATTATTTATACAATTATTTATTCAAGTATTTATACAATTATTTGTAACATTATTTACATAATTATTTACACAATAATTTTTTCAATTATTTATACAATTATTTGTAAAATTATTTATACAATTATTTATACAAATATTTATACAATTATTTATAAAATAATTTATACAATTATTTATACAATTATTTACACAATTATTTATACAATTAATTATACAATTATTTATTCAAGTATTTGTGCAATTATTTGTAGTATTATTTACATAATTATATAGACAATTATTTGTTCAATTATTTATACAATTATTTATACAATTATTTATACAATTATTTATACAATTATTTGTACAATTATTTATACAATTATTTATACAATTATTTATACAATTATTTATACAATTATTTATACAATTATTTATACAATTATTTATACAATTATTTATACAATTATTTATGCAATTATTTATACAATTATTTATACAATTATTTATACAATTATTTATACAATTATTTATACAATTATTTATACAATTATTTATACAATTATTTATACAATTATTTATACAATTATTTATACAATTATTTATACAATTATTTATACAATTATTTATACAATTATTTATACAATTATTTATACAATTATTTATACAATTATTTATACAATTATTTATACAATTATTTATACAATTATTTATACAATTATTTATACAATTATTTATACAATTATTTATACAATTATTTATACAATTATTTATACAATTATTTATACAATTATTTATACAATTATTTATACAATTATTTATACAATTATTTATACAATTATTTATACAATTATTTATACAATTATTTATACAATTATTTATACAATTATTTATACAATTATTTATACAATTATTTATACAATTATTTATACAATTATTTATACAATTATTTATACAATTATTTATACAATTATTTATACAATTATTTATACAATTATTTATACAATTATTTATACAATTATTTATACAATTATTTATACAATTATTTATACAATTATTTATACAATTATTTATACAATTATTTATACAATTATTTATACAATTATTTATACAATTATTTATACAATTATTTATACATTTATTTATACGATTAGTTATTTAATTATTTATACAATTTTTTTTACATTTATTTATGCAATTAGTTATCTAATTACTTATACAATTATTTATACATTTATTTATACGATTGGTTATTTCATTATTTATACATTTATTTATACAATTAGTTATATAATTATTTATACAAATATTGATACAATTATTTATACAATTACTTACTAAATTTCTTATCGAAATATTTAATTATCCAACTAAAAAGTGTTTCTCAAGTAGACCATGTCCAATAAAGACAATGATACGAGTAATGTATATGATAACTACGCACGGTTCTGAATTAAATCGAAACTGATATTCAAAAGAAAAATGTTTCCGAAATACATGAATTTTTTAAAGGTTTAACCATTTTTTGTAGATCATTTATTTTACTTCTTAAATTATTGAATGATTCAAGGTTGAAAAAAGGTGACGTCGTTGCCAAGTTTTTTTCTCACCCTTTCAGGCATTCCTCTGCTCACCCCTGAGAGATTCCGGCAGACTTTCTCCATTAAGGCTTGAGTCCAGCCACTGACTCCTCCCAATCAGGCTTGGGATCCAGTCTGTTTTCCCTCCTCTTGGACTTTGCATGATGGCACTAAATCTCAGATGGCTTACAGTGCCCATTTGGATGCCCTACTCCTTCCCATTCACCATACGTTTATTCCTCGTCGTCAGTGGTTTATTTTTAGTCCAGCGATCATCCATGCAAGATGGAAACAATTGTAATGGCATCCGTAATCATGATACAATGTGTTGAAATGTCATACAGACACAATTATGATTTCAAATGAGTACTGTCAAAATTAATTAAAACAAGAAATCAACCACAATAAAGCCCGAGCCTTCTGGACCATTTTAAAAATTTTACTTTGTTTTAGCAAATTGCAGATAGTTTCTTTAATGGTAATATCAGATTCGTTTTTCTGGACACAGTTAAAACTAGGTCTTTATCTTTAACATGTCCCAGGTTTTTTGCTTTAAAATAACCCTGTTTTTCTAACGCTTTTTCAGGGAGATTAGACATAACTATCAGAAGACCCAACTTTAGAAATTAGATTTATTACCGTTCCACACAAAATAACTAAAAGTTCCATATACCTAATATCACTAATACTGATTTTTCCAAAGCCTTTGATAGGTTGGATCATGGCATACTACTAACAAAACTTCACCAGGTCGGAATGTGTGAACAGCTAATAACTGTCATAAAATCCTATATATCTGGACGCACCCAATTTGTTAAATGTCTGGGTCTTAAATCACGTGTATTTTCTCAAATTTCCGCAGTCCCTCAAGACTCTATTTTGGGCCCTCTTCTCTTCAACATTTTTGTTAACGATATCGTAACTAATATTGATGTAAAATATTTACTATATGCTGATGATTTAAAACTATTCCACACCATTAATAACTTTGTCAATCTCTACAACGTAATATTAACCTATTAAATGATTGGTGCGCTGCCAACAAATTGTCTCTAAATGCCAATAAATGCAACATAATGACTTTCTCTAGAAAAGAGTCAATCATGCAATTTAATTATATACTATAGGATATTACGCTATCAAGGCCTGAGTTGATAAAAGATCTCGGTGTCTACTACGATCCCACATTCTTTATGCCGGCCTAGATATTCAGTCCAACCAGAATTCAATGGCAACACTTCTTCATCTGTCATGGTGTCATTCTTTTCTTCCTCTTCTGCAACTTCTTCCAAAACCATTTCCCGAAGAACATTTTCGATATCATTATTGTCATTGAATTCCTCATCAGATGATTCTTCTGAATCTTGTTGAGAAACTGGATTTTTCTTAGGATCAATTTTCCATACTGGATCCGCCACGGAATCATCGGAGTCAAAATCTGAAGCACTATTTTCATTTTAAAAACTAATTCCTTTGCAATTTTTTGCAGGTCCGCACCGGATAAAACTCTCCTGCGTTTTGGCATTATTTATACTTTAGTAAACACTTCTATAGTGTTTTTTAGTTCAATAAACACTTCAATTGTCTTATTTATACTTCAATAAACACTTCTAAACTCAGCACTTTACGAATTCAAATCTAAAACAAAAGAGAACTAAATCAAAAGCTGTCATACATATTTGAATGACGTGGCCTCCTGAAGAAAAATTCTAGTAACTTTCCGCAGAGGCCGCGTCATTCATATAGGAATGACACTCAAAAACTAAAAAAAAAAAAATTAAAATTCAAAAATTAATAAAAAAAATAATGTTTTTACATGCTTTTCATGATAATATTTTATTTTTAAGAAAAAACGTGCGTGGCCCCTAGCGGTAATTTCGTGAATTAGGCTTGGCACGCAATGTGTTAATGGGTCTGTTGACAATCAACATGATCAACTTCCACGTTCCTAGGCTAAACTCCAGAAACTTACATACATTTCACATTCCGCCTCATAGGACAAATATATACCAGGTCTTCAACAATACCCGAAACCCACGTGATCTGATAACCATCAAAAACCCATCGAAAAGGCCTGATTTGACGTAAAAGTAACTAAACTGAACTGTCAGTCCTATCAGAAATGTCACTGGCGTTCATTTGGGGACTGACTATATTTATACTATATTTGTTTACATTTTATAAACACCTTTATTCCATTTTTCATTTAATATTAATGGAGCAATTAGTTATTTTTAGAGATTATTGGTGGCTTAATTCTTTTTTGTTGGTAAGTACAAATTTATTTACTGTAACTCGTAAAAGTTAATGACTAGGTAATGTTACACAGAAACAAAATTATTTTATATTCGTTATTGTATTCGAAAATTTGAGGAACATTTTCTAGGTGAATAAATGGAATGTGATTCTTTTTTGTCGTCATTAACAAATACTTGTTCAAAATTATAAAAAAGGAAAAAGCTCTAAAAGTCCCACAGTAATAACAAAAGCTGTTGAAGATGTGCAAATTAACATGGTGCAAATTCCCAATAAATTAGTAAAAAAAACAACACCTCAAACAGGTATGAACGGTGTTTTAAAGACTGACTCTGGCGAGTAAAATTCAAAACACATTTTTTAGGTTTGTAGCTACGAACTAGCCATAAAGTATTGAAAACATTTCTGATAATGCATCCCCTATAAAGTTTCGGTACTGCAAGAATCATTTTACCTTAATGTTGTTAAACCTATCTATGGAATATTACTGATCGCTCAATTCAAAATCGTTTGTGTGACGTTTATAAACTGGAGCACCTATATTAAATGAAATACACAATATAACTGAGAAGAAACTGCATAATGTGTTCAAAAAAGAACGATTAATGCTTGTATTAAAGCTGGTGGTAAAGATTTTGAACAGATAGGTACTGTGAATTAGTATCGTTTGTGCACCACCGATTACTACTCAATATCCTTTTAAATAAAATAGTTGGTCTGCCTTTATAATTTAAAGTGAGAGCTGTAAGGTAAAACAAATATATTCTCGTTACATTAATAATATTAATATTGTTTTTTATAGGTACATATTAGTAACATAATGTATTTCGTAAATGATTTAAACCCTGTAACAAATAAATAATAGAACAAACTTAAAAAATTATTTGTTTATTTCTTCCCATTGCCCAGGTACAATTCCAGTAAGTTTTAAATTTTTTAAAGTTTCAGCTGTAGCTAAATATCTTAGACTCGATCTAAAGTAAATAATTTTTAATTTTATTCATATCTTAATTCATAATATGTTATGTTCATAACTTTGTTGCACCCTGTTCGGGTAAAGGTTGTTTTTGTAATAACTAGTACGAACTTTATTTCAGTTTATTATTCTTTTCGTTAAATATAAATAGCTCAGTTTTTAAGGTTATGTTAATTATATTGTTAGATTCGTGCATTCGATCATGTATTATGATCGAATATTCGTGCAATATTTAAGACGCCGCCACTGCCTAAGCGATACTTGGATATTGGATACACACACATACCCACTCGACGAGTAGAAGACCGAAAAATCAAAAAGACACTTATGATTGACGTGGGTTCCTATGCACACTTTTGACGCTCTCTAAATTTTAATTAATAACGATTGTTAATAACTTTCTTGGTATTAATACATTTTATAAGAAGTGATTAAGTGTTTATTTTGATGAATGATTATATTTGAATAAAAGACGTATTATTTTATTAAAAAATCCAATGGCTTGAATAAAATATAAACTAATAATTATTAAAACAAAAAACGATCAATTAAATCTTAAAATATCATAATTTTTAAAATTAGATTATTGCATTTGACTAAATGTAATTAAAATATCGAATTCTAACATTAAAATTCAATAATGTAAAACACCTCTAATTAATATTATGATTTTGTGTTGCAATTCTAACAATTACCTAACTTAATTTTGTTCTCGTAGTTGCAGACCATAAAAAAGAAGATCTAATTTGTAATAAAATACCTACGGCACTGGCTCACTTTTCACCAATCGCTGTCATGACGATTTGGTCACGTGGGTTTTCGGTATTGTTGAAGACCCAGTATAAATCATCACCTCTTAATCAAACTGTGTCAAATTATTGTCTCTTAGAACCGAATCTGGACATATTTCACAGTTGTAGCGGTTCAGTTAAACGTTTATGCTCATAGCACAGCTTATACAATACAGCTAAAACACTCTCTTGGCGGCAACGGTTTGCGTCGATTTCGTCGCGCATCGCTTAAGCTCCGCCTTCGAAGGGAAAAGACGGTTTTGGCGTTCAGAAGTGTACTTAGGTAAGGTGTTGAGTCGTGCGTATAATTTCGTTGATTGTATAATTTCGTGGAGCCTATAATTTCGTAGATTTTGTTTGAGTTAAAGGTACTGTTATTATTTTGGTGACTCTTTAGCTGTGAGTAGAATGAATGAAAAAAAAGACATCATTCTGTTTGTGCAGTCAAAAGCTGTTTTAATAAGGGTTATACCTGCAAGAAAACATTCTTTAGTTTTCCCAAGGACCCAAACCGATAAGTACCACATTATAAGAAATTTCCATTGTTAAAAATATAATTTATACAGGGTGTCCCATTAGTGCGTTATTGTTCATTATTTTGTTGTAGACACGCAAGAAAGTATTAAATAAAAGTTATATGGATTTGAAAAATACCTACATATTTTAAAAATATCTTTGGATATACAGGGTGTCACGTTTTTGCCTGGCAAATTAAAATGTATGTTTTTTAAATGGAACACCTTGTATTTTATTTTATGATGAAATTATTAACACCCTAAATTATTGTAAAGACGAATTGCTACAGAAAATTTTTATCAGGTATGTGTGTGGTTACCTTTTAATAAAAGCCTTGCGGATCCACTCCTGCGATACCTGTCTTAAATATAACAAAGATCACGTTGAAATAGATGATTTTTCTTTTTATTGCTTTTTAAAGGCATATGATAACGCCAATTCAGATACATTTGGAAATCTGCAACTGTCAAATGATGAATTTGTAGAACTAATATTCAATATTGAAAAGATATTTCAAAATAATTTTGAAGAATTGGCTACAAAAAATAACATTTGTACCACACTTTTAGAATTAATTAACCCAATACCCTTTAGTCATCCATGCTAACGTTTTCCAAAAGAATAACTTATTTTATTGTATGTTTAATCTCAATAACTAAAAAATATACTGACAATTAGTTTGACAGAATTGTCATTTATTTAAAATTTTAAAAATAATAGCAGTCGGTTGATCAAAATATGAACGGTGATTGGCGAATTTATTTTTTTTGCAGTGTTCTCACTACCTAGAATGGATATGAAATATATTCGTTCAATTGAAGGCAATAGCATACTTTTTCGTTTTGTAATCTGTGCATGGATATTAGCCAATCTACGCACATACTACAAAACGAAAAAGTATGTTATTGTGTTCAACTACGAATATATTTCATATCCATTTTAGGTAGTAAGAACACTTTAACAAAATTAAATCTACAAATCACAGTTCATATTTTGGTCACCCAACTCCTATTATTTAAAATTTTTTAAAATAAGTGACAATTCTGTTAAACTAATTGTCAATATATATTTTAGTTATTGATATTAAATATACATTAAAATTTTTGTGCAGACTCGATAAATAATAGCATTTTTGTTTCTATTATGTCCACATTTAAAAAAAAATAAATTTTAATTAAACTACATGATACTAATTTAATTACGAGTATTAAAACTAAAGTCCTGAAAGTTTCGGTGAAGATGAAGACAGAGCATCTGCCTTCCACGCGAAAAGTCCGGGATCGAATCTAGTCCGAGGACTAATTAATTTTTCATGTTTATTTTATTTTATAAATTAGTCAACTTCGTAAATTATTTTAAAATTAGTTATTTTGTCTAAATAACCTAAAATAATTTTTTAAATTTGTAGATTTTCGTTAGTGGGTCGTAGAAAAAATATACTGACCATATCGAGTAGATTGTTCATATCACAATCAGACGATTGAGTTCTCCGCCTGCGACGTCGTGCTCAAACTTCGTCTTTGTGTGATATGGCTATCATATCCACCCTTGTTGAACAAACTGCAATTTATTTGTTTTCTTGGTTTAAGTTTTACATCAGAAATAGGAATTAAATTAATTTACTTTTCAAGTTTTCTTGTAAAAATCGATATTACTTTCTCCAAGTACAAATTTAGTACCTACCTAAAATAAGTACTAATTATGTTATATCTTGTAATATTGTAATTCAAATTTCACATTACTATAAAGTTTTAAAATTTCCTACTTCGGTATGGTCAGATAAAAATTGAATATATTATATTAATAAAAACTGTCAAAGTATAACTTCTACAAATCTGTATTTCAAATAATAAGAATACATCTAAATATAACCAATATTGTTAAAACAAAAGCACACATTCTTTATAATTCCAAAATACCATAGAGTTCCCAGACCTCAGTCGAAGCATTCGTTTATCTAGGTATAAACCCTTTGCGCGAAGAGTAACACTTGCCAGAGACACGGGGGTACCACTTGATTTGCATCCACGAGCGTGACACAATTCTTTAACAATTGAAGCCCTTGGTGTAAAATGGATCCAAGCCACAATTTGTCGTGAAGTGACTGTTTTAGCTCAAAACATTTGTTAACGAGGATTTTACTAGCTATATATAAATTATTTTACCTCTAATCCGAAAGATGTGCTATTTTTCGTAATATTTATATTTAAATAATTTTTTTAATTATATTTGAAAGATTTAAAACAAATTAAAAATGTAATTTCCCAAAACTTACTTAATATGGCATGTGACCAACCTTATTACGCCAAGGTTTTCAATTTTTTCAATAATAAAAAAATTGTTTAATCCGGGCCCGACTTTTCCCTTGAATCTAACAGAGATAGCACCATTCCGTCTTGCTTGGTTCTCGACCGCCAGATCAAAGACGCCGACACGGAGTTGTGGAGCTGTATTGTATAAGCTGTGCTCATAGTTTATACCTTTTGTCTCTTTTTTTGCTGTTATTGTGAGTGTTTATCTCCCAATTACTTATATGGTTTAAAAGTTTGTCTACTACAAATGCACCTCTTGTTGTTTGTTCTTCGTGTTTTGTCATTTGTGTGTTCGAGAAGACATTCTTTTAACGAACCAATTATTATTTATTATTGTAAAATATATTTTCTGTTTGTTAACCCTTGTCCTGTAATTGGGGTGAGTCCCGTGGACATTGTAAGTATAATAAATAAATAATTCACAGATGAAAAATATTCAGCTATATAAAAATCTTGATTGAGTAATTGGGGTACGACGCCCAGAATCCTCCAGTTCAGGCAAGAGGACATGGCGAAGACATGGCGAAGACATCGACAAATATCGTGAAATGTAGAAATTTTTAATTTGACTTGGAGTTTTTAAAATTCCCATCTTGTAATACCAGGATTTTTATTGAAAAGTAGATAATTCCGAGGAATTAACAGATTTCTTGGTAGGATTAATGACATATAAAAAGATTAGGAATAAATGAGCCAGCTGCTTCGGTATCAATCGAATAATCCTCATAGCAAATCTATCGGAATAATCCTAATATTTAAACCATTGTCAAGCAACTTAAATAATATTAAAGTCTTAAAAATAGTTACAAATACTACACAATTCATTTAATAATAGTTATTTGTAGTAACGAGTCATCAATAAAAGTCATAATTGGAATTTGGTTGTAAAATTTAAATATTTTGGGTTGGCACTTTGGTCACTGCTACAAAATGATATTTATTGCCATTTAAATTGTTAAGTTAAGATGAAAATGAGTGGCATGACTTACGTACTTCGATTTTATGTGGCTATGTATCAATTTCAAATTCAAGGTCTGTGGAAGTGTCTAAATCACAGCCAACTCCACTTATAATTTTTCTCAATCGGTTGCTATTTATTGAAATTGTGGAAATGCTATAGATTCAAAAATCCGAGAAAAATATGTTAAGTAATTTATATTTCGTTGTATTTTAGGTTTAATTTTTGGAGGATTCATGGTATCCGAAATAGTAAACCTGTTCCAATCAATAAATGACCTTGGAAAGTTCATCGACGCTTTATTTTCAACATTCACTAATTTAGTAGCCCTTGTTAAATTAATTTCCATCGCTTGGAACCAAGATAAACTCGTAATTTTAAGTGAAAAAATCGACAGAATGGAATTCAGACCGAAATCAGAAAACCAGGAAAAGATTTTGAGAAGCCACGTCAAGATTTCTAAATTTCTATCCCTATCTATGTACTGTGGATGTGTTTCGACGTGTCTTTTTTGGATTATGTTTTCTTTAACCGACGAAGACGGTCGTTTGTTGCTGGTACCTGCTTATTTTCCTTTCATGAATGAATCTACGGGTGTTTTCATTTTTTGTTACATTTTTGAAATAGTTGCATTGTGGGTTTCAGGATTTTCGGATTTGAGTGCAGATTGTTTCATTGCAAGTAAGTATGTCAACATTTTTTAAAAACAAGTCAATACTGAAAGTCAATAGGTCAGTATCTTATAAATTATTTATTGTTTTACTCAATTCTATAATTAAAAATCTCATACGGGGTGATATCTTGTATCTTAACAAAAATAAGTCGTATATTTTACAATCTTGGGTTGAGTGTTTAACAACACATTTGACACATTTGGGTTCTTTTTGCAGTAGTTTTTAGTATGCCCATATTTTTGACATTGTTTATATTAGGGTAAGTTAGAGCCTGGAAAATATGCAAAATACATGTAAAATGCATGCATGCATTTTTCCCCCAAACTTTCAAAATGCATACGCAAAATAAAATTTTGCATTTTTCAATATATTTTGCTAATAAATAATTAAAATACGTTAAATAACAAATAATAACATAAAAACTGTAAGGGGTTTTCTCGCCTCAGAGAAAACGATTACTTACAAATGACGCCTGTTGACGGGACGGCTCTCGGGCGCCAGATTTTCTGTGTGGTTTACTCCACAAACTTTCGAAACGGCGTCGAAAGTACTCGGGCAGCACAGATGGAGATGAAAAATTCCAGGGGTCGTTGGTCACTCAGACACAGGTAATAAGTAACCACAAGTAACGGGCTTTAATCGTGACTTGTGGTGATAAAGAATTTCTCACTGCTGAAATAAAGGGGGAAGTAAATTAGGGATCAGTAACCTCAGTAACAGTCAAGGTAACGTTGACACATATATTGAATTTAACTATTTACAACAAAAAAAATAAATAAATATTTCAACGCCCACCCCCGCTCGTATTTTTAAAACCCTGAACAAAAAGAAAAACAAACAGATCGGCTTTGATTAGTCTCAATCAGACGGTATAATTAAAATTAAAAGAAAGATGTTCGGTAACTAATTATTAAATTGTCGGTTCGGTGGTTGAGCCAAAACGAAATCAAAAACAAAATTACTATTTTAGTTAAAGAAGAAAAATGGCAAATAATTGCGGTCGTAGCAAAAGTTAGCTAGTTAACTGTTAAATCGGTAAAAAGATTGAAGTTAAATATTTTGTTTCGTAAAAGTAGAAATAAAATCACGGTCGTAGAAAAAGTTATCTGGTTAACTATCTAGTCGGTATTGAAACTGAAACAAACCTCTTTGTGTTATTGAATAGGGAATAGATAAATGATAAGAAAACGGGATAGTATCAATCCTATGAGAAGTGTACTCGCCAAAACCAGCCCGCTCAACATAAAAATGATATAGTCCAATCATTATAGTAAGTTCACCTCGGAATTCGAGATACCCAGCTGTAAGTCTGTAAATACTTGTATATTGACACCCTAAAAGTTGTCTCAAAACCTACATATAGTAGGGTGTACGCACAAAGCATGTATCTTCTAGAGACCCCACGCCAATGTTAAACTTTTAAACCAAATTAGCGCCACCTTGTGTTTGGAGCTGGAACTAAAATGACAATTGACAGATAGCGGTAAATTCAAATTGTAATTTTTAGGAGTAGGTAGTAGTTTTAAATGATTTCCACATAAATTATTTTATAAAATAAAGTATGGAACTAGTAAGTTCGAAACTTTTATTTTACAAAATAATTTAGGTCGATTATACCAAATTTGAAGAATTAATTTGTTATAAGGGGTCTAATGTGGAGAGTTGGTTCTGCATATTTTTATTAAATAAATATAAGATATATCAATAAATAATAAAATAGAACATTCTTAAAATATGTTTATTAATAACTTAAATAAATATTATTAGATAAAAATAAATACAAATAATAATACATATTTAAGGAATACTTACTTGGAGCAAATAGATATATAATCTCAAATCTTTAAAATACCTATCAATAATTTAAATGTGAAGTAGAGACTAGGATATTACATTTTATTAACACTATTATATATTTTATAAATGTCTTTTTAACTGAGGACAAATGTAATATAGGTATTGTATTAAAAGGTGAATCCTTTTAACTATTCATTCAATGATAAATAGGTATTTTCCTTCCAAATACAGATGGTGGTATTACTCTCTTATGTGAAAAATGATTTCAGAATCTAGTCCAGTGATAAATTGATTATCAATTAGTTGTTGTCCCCGTTTATCTTTTTATGATGCAGATGCATGGTGAATATATGGTGAATCAATGAAGTTTTTCTCGAAGTTTTCAACGTAGCACCAAAATTATTGCAAAACACAGTAGGAAATAAAAAAGCGAAACATCACAATTTTGCAAATAACTAAGACGAAACTATAAACAGAAACCAAAAGCCAAAGCCAACAAAAAATCACTAAAATCAGACGGAAAAATGAAACTAACCAAGAACATAAATAAATACACGTCACATCTTTGGAGTCTTTGGTTAAGTTTTTCTCCCATAAGGCTTAAAAATGGAGTAAGAAATCATAATTTCACCAGTAGCCCCATCTAGAGTTTGGAGCAAATAGCATAAAAAATGTCAGTTGTCGGTTTTGACCTTGGTCATTCACGTGGAACCTCTATGTGCTTTGTGGGTGTACGCATCTATTAAATTTCAAGGTCAATTTTTAAATTTTTTAATTCTAAAAACATTCAAAATTATTAATATATTAAATTTAACATATAACACATTATTATAACATTTTACAAATTAAGAGTCGATTCCACCGTTGTGTTAAACGACGTTTAAATTACTAAACGAAGATTAAAATGACCTTTTTACATTAACAATGTCATTTTAATCCTTGTTTATTAATTTAAACTTCGTTTAACACAACGGTGAAATCGGCCCTTGGCAATACATAATATTGTTTTGTGTGAACCTGCCTACTTACTTGTCCATGGCACTGATTAATTCTATAATATTCTGTTTAGTCTACTAAGGACCGATTCCACCGTGTGTTAAAAGAAATTTAAAATGACATTTTTACATTAAAACAATGTCATTTTAATCTCCGTTTAACACAACGGTGGAATCGGCCCTTAATAAAACAAATCCACAAAACACAAGAAATCACTACACTGCAACGAAAACATTGAACAGAAAATGAAAATGGCAAAATTTTGCAAATCAGTGAAATTAAACTAAAATAACAAACTCGAAACCGGGGAACCCCTTCAATAAACCTAACTAATGAAAAATGAAACATAATAATACTATCTCGAGATACAGATGGCGCGCGCCATTTATTTATGTATATATATTTTTTTATTCAGCCCACAGCACAAGCCAAAAGTTATAAAAACTTATTAGCTCTAATTTTTTTATTTGCGTAATTAAAAATATTCAGTGGTAAAATGTACTAAATTTTAGTAAATTTTACCATAATGTACTTTTGTACTAAATGTAGAAAAATGTACTGAATTCAGTACATATGTATCGAAACGGCAACGCTGGCTCTATGCCCAAGCAGGCTAGCTCCCACTCGATGTGCGCGGATCGCGCGCGCTATCGTTACTCAGGTATAATACGCGAATTTAAATGAAACAAAATTTGATATACAGGGTTTACCCATGAAGTTAAAATAAAATAAAAATTAAAATTTATATCCGGAATAGGCCGAAATATAGTAATGAAAATTGACTTCATTACAAAACATTAACCATTACTATAGTCTATTTTTATGTATGAGAGAGTAATAAAACAGCATTTCTAATGCAAAACTTAGTACGGTCATTTTAAATATTTTTACAGAATAATCTAAATATTTCCTAAAATTGTAATAAATGTACCTGAGCTATTACAAGTTTTGGGTCTTTTATTAGTCCTTTATAAACATAAGCTGTACAGAACAATAGAAAAAGGTTTGGACAGGCCAAAAGCCTTGTGTATTAAAGATTACATAGCCGTATCTTAAGATTATTTTCAATAAGTACCTATTTGCCAATTTTGTTTTATTTTAATTCCAAGAATTTCTTACAGTAATCGAATTATAAGTAGATTATAGATTTTCCATTTAGTAAGGAGGTCTAAGTTGTGTATTTTTGACAGTTTACTAAATGGCGTTTAGTTGCAACATGCAAGGTGCAGTGTGAATTCTAGTGTGATCATGGAAAATTTTGAAGGGCCGCGTAAACGACAAAAAATCGGTCCTTTAACAGTTAATGAAAAAACAATAATATTTAATTGTTTTAAATCATTTACAGACAAACATTTATGTAAAAGTGTTGATGATACAGTGAAATTAGTTAGTAGTACGCTTGGTGTTGGGAAATCTACGATTTACAGAGTTGTTAAAGAAGAGAAATGTGGCGAGTTTCAAACAGCACGTAAAGCTCCAGGAAAACCAAATGAGATGAGATGAGATGATAAGGATTACCCTGAAATGAGTCGAAGCACACTATGGAAACTTTTAAAAGAAATAGGTTTCCTATGGAAAAAGCATTCCAGAAAGTCTATTTTAATAGAAAGAAGCGATATTGTAGTATGGAGAAGAAATTACCTAAGGACTATAAAAGAAATGAGAAACCAAAGAAGAAATATATTTTATTTAGATGAAACATGGATCAACGAGAGACATAAACCAAATAAATTTTGTCAAGATGAAACTGTTACAAGTCGAAGACAGGCTTTTTTAAATAATTTATCTACTGGTTTAAATCCACCATCAGAAAAGGGGCGCAGACTAATAATAACACATCGGTAGTTCAAACGGTTTTGTTAGAGGTGGTTTATTGACTTTTGAATCTACTCGTACCGGTGACTACCATGAGGACATGAATGCTGATGTCTTTAAAGAGTGGTTCGAACAAATTATAGATCTTCTTCCTCAGAACTGTATAATAGTAATGCATAATGCAAGTTATCACTCGAGACTTATAGAAAAAATACCCACAACCAAGTGGTTAAAAAAAGATTTACAGAATTGGCTAAATTCAAAGAATATTAAGTTCCATCCCGGTTCTGTGAGAAAAGAACTGTATTATTTGTGTTCCCTTCATAAAGAGAAATTCAAAAAATATGAGATTGATGAAATTGCAAAAAATCGTGGGATGACGGTGGTTAGATACCACCATATCATTGCGAAGTAAACCCGATTGAACTGATATGGGCACAGATAAAGGGAGAAGTTTCAAGAAAAAATAATTCGTTTAAAATGAGTGATGTTAAACAGTTGTTTTTGGAGGCTGTAAATAATGTGAAGCCTGAAAACTGGGAAAAGGCAGTAAATCATACGATTAAAGAAGAAGAGAAAATGTGGAAGTTGGACAATATTACTGATAAAATGATCGAGCCACTCATTGTAAATATTGGTTGCGACAGTTCATCTTCTGATTTCGATTCTGATTTGGATTTGTAGGTAAGAAGTAGTTTTTATATTAAAATTATTATTTATAAACGTAACGTTGTTTAAAAGTCAAAGTTTAAACCCTTAAACCTACATAACCCGTTTGACATAATGTTCTTAACATACCTTGTGGAAAAATAAAATATTTTAGAAAAAATTGCAATTTTTTACCTTCAGCTGTTTAGAAGTTATAAGCAGGTTAATTAGGTGAAAATATAAGTGTATACTCGAGGAATAACTTCAAAAAATATTTTAACTGTCTACTAAAAGAAGTGCTACGCCTATGGATTACGAACGCTTTATTATTTTAATACTCTCTCATACATAAAAATAGACTATAGCTTATGTTAAACGGCGTCCGTTAGTTATATATATTTCATTTGTTTATCTAAGGTTCATATAAAAAAACTGCACCTTGTTTTTTATTTGGATTTTTTACTTTTTTACATGTTTTATTTATTTTTTATCTATTAAAGGTTGCGGCAGTCGAGAAAAGGTTGGGAACCTTTAATCTAGAGGAAAGGGCACTTATCTAGCATACAAAGATGTCCGGGTTCGATCCCCAGCTACGACAGCCTTTTTTTCAAATCTCCAAGTATTTGTTTTCGACCTTGGATATCTTAATAATTCGTAGGAATAATTTTTGAAATTTGTTTCCGAATATTAAAATTATTCATTACTTATGTTATATTAGATTATATATTTTCTGACTAGTTATTCAATTTTAGGTTGGATTATGGTAGTGAGCGCACAGCTGAAATTATTGAACGATACTCTAGCTAATTTGCACGATTTCGCTGAAGATGAATTAAAAAAGTACCAAAATCCGTTGAAATTAGACAAGAAATCCACAGTGTTCAGAAAAATTATGAACAAAAAATTGATAGAATGCATAATTCATTACCAATATATTCTCGAGTAAGCAATAATTGCATTTTGAAGAGTACCTATTGTAGTGAGGCGACATAGTTAAAAATTGTACATTATATAAACAGAATTTTAAGATATTGGGGTACTTTATATAGCGCATGCGTTAAATTTGGAAGCTATTTTAATATTAGTACTTGTGCTTGTGCGATCGTATAATAGAACGGTGAATTTTTCTGTGAGAAATACTGGTTAGGGTACAAGTCAAATTCAGTAGTAAAGCCGGCTACTCACTACGCGTTACTTGCCAAGTACTTTGCAAGTACCATGTAATGTGTATGGAGACTTGCATAGACTCAGCAAGTTACTTGTACTTCCCGTCGGTTGTCGGTAAACGGACCAAAATCAAAGGATCCGAGTAAAGTTACTACTACTACTTTAGAAGGCGCGCGTAATGTAGACGATTTACTTGTACTCGAACAAGTACTTGCCAAGTTCAGTCCAAGTCAAGTAACTCGGCAAGTAACGCGTAGTGAGTAGCCGGCTTAATACTTCTGGGGGCATGTTCAAAAATTTTGAATTTTTTTTATGAATAGTAGAGTTCAAAATAAAGCGACATTTAAAATGTTTTTTTTTTATCTATTCATTTGCCCGAGTTATTAATTTTTTTAAATTTCTGACGTCACTGGGAATAAACCAATAGGTACTAGCCACATAACGTTGCCAATTAGACGGTATACGAAAAATAATATACGTTCGTTTGTGTGCACCGTCTTACTTTTAGACTTCTAAAATATCGTTAAACAAATATCTTTTAAATATAAAATATCAAATGTTTTTAAAAGTATTATTTATGTTTAAACTTTCACCATATTTATAGTTTCATTGTTTTAAAAAACGACAGTTAATAAACAAGAAAATGGAAATGCGGCAGCACTGCATGTATCATCTGTGAATCAGGAATTTTTGTGTTGTTGTCAATCGATAAATGCAATTTTGATGTTTTTATTGTTTTTATAAATATTGTGATTTTGAAAAAATGTTTCCTCCCAAGATGTGATAATGATTTACATTTTACATTCATTATTAAAAATATTTATTAGTGTTGCAAGAAATATGAAAAGACGAAAATTATTATCATTACACAGAAAGGCTTTAAGGAACAGCTAAATTATTTTGTTGAGGTTTGCATCTATACTCTTTATTAAAATAAAAATGTTTTATTGTAATTTAATTGTTCTCAATTATCTACCATTGTAGTAACGATGTTTTTTCTTTTTTTTAGATACCAGATGATTTTGAAAACTGTTCATTTTTTAAATGATGGATAAACCTTTACATATAAGAAGTGGGTAGTACCACACAAATGTTTCCACAGTTCTTGTTATTCATCACACAAGAGCCAGCTCACTGATTCTACCAAAAAAGAAAAACAGAAAACAAAAAAACTGTTGACTGGAAAATAACCTACTAGAGGCATTTTTCATCTCTATTTAATATACTCGTACATACACTGGATCTTCAAGATACAGCAGCAATTTCTGGCAATAATTTAAAATGAGCCTACTATAAGTTCGAAGGTGTATATCCTAAAACTGCTTCTGCAAGAACCTGCCTCGAAACCTCCTGAAAGTTTTAAAGATAGTGAAGTTTTGTCTGAATCGGAAGAAACATCTTTAATATCTGATTCAGAGGGACTTAATAATGAGCAGGATCTTCAAAATTGAAAATAAACCGAAGGTATATTTAGGATTGCCCAACAGTGTTGTTAAAATCCTCAATATTTATGAGAAGGAGAGTGTAGCTTACATTTTACATTTCTGTGTGAATTAGTGGTATTTTTAACTTAAAAAAACCTATTTTGTAAGACTAAATACTAAATAATTTAATAAACTTTGTTTTTTTTTTATTAATTTATCACATTTCAGAGATTATAATAATTGTATATAAACAAAAATGTAAAATCTGTGAAAATTTTATTTATTAACCTATTATTAAAAAATAAAAGTAACTGAATAAGATAAACGAAGTAAAAAACACTTTATTTACAAATAATAAAAAATATATACACAAGCCCTAACAATAATGGAGATGTCAAATTAAAATGTCCTCTAAAGATTCATTATCAAATTCAACTTGTTATCGACTTCATTATTTACTTCAAATGTGGAAGAAACAATGCAAAATACTTTATGTTCATGTGTAATTATTCCGTTTACAGGGCAAATATCTCCTTTTCTCAAGTTATTCATGGGAAATCGCATTATCTCCATATTCTTGCTTGGCAGATCTAAAAATAATAAAATATTTAATAATGTGATGATTTTTTACTTTCCTATCTGTATACAGATATAAGGAAAGTATAGGAATCATGATTTTTTTCGACCTCGAGTTTTCGACGGATTTTTACGTTTTGAGGTCCCCTGAATCCGTTTTGACTATTTTCGCGATGATGTCTGTGTGTGTGTGTGTGTGTGTGTCTGTGTGTGTGTCTGTGTGTGTGTGTGTGTCTGTATAACGCATAACTCATGAACCGATACACAGAAAAACACCAAATTTTAAACTTAAGCTTTGTTTCAGCGTCCAATGAGCTGATTAGATTTTGGGCAGTGTCGGAACATCTGGGGGGGTACTTTATTGGTGGTCATTTTTATATTTTATGGAATATATCTGTTATTTACGTTTGGAGAAGAAAATTCTTCAAATAAAAGTTACTTCTAATATAATTATCTATAATTTTTGTTTTATGCAAAATTTTCCTAAAATGGTCCGTATTCGAGAAATTTGACAAAATGTAAAAAACATAATTTTTTATAAAAATTGTTCAAATAAAAGTTGTTTGTAATATAATTCTCTATAATTTTTGTCCTATACATAATTTCTCTAAAATGGATCGTATTCGAAATATTTGAGAAAATGTGTAAATTTCGAAATTTGAAGAAAACTCAAAAACGGATAAAGGAAAAAACATTAAATTTTAAACTTAAGGTTTATTTCGGCCTGACGTAAAATGATTAGATTTTGGACAAAGTCGGAACATCTGGGGGGGTACTTTATGGGAGGCCGTTTTTATATTTTATGGAATATATCTGTTATTTATGTTTGGAGAAGAAAATTGTTCAAATAAAAGTTACTTCTAATATTATTATCTATAATTTTTTCTTTATGTCAAAATTTCCTGAAATGGTCCGTATTCGAGAAATTTGACAAAATGTGCAAAATTCTGATTTTTATGAAAAGTGTTGAACTAAAAGTTGTTTGCGATATCGATTTCTATAATTTTTGTTTATACATGATTTTTCTAAAATGGACCGTAATGGAAAAGTGCTAAATTTAAATTTTTCTGTATTTTCGTTTTCAATGAATATCTATAGAAAAATGTTTCGAGGTAGATGTATGTGTAAAATGTATATATTTAGTTTATCCTCTAAACATTTATAGAGATGCTGCAATAGGTTGTACAAAATAACCGGAAAATGCCTATAATAACTAGATAGGAAAGTCATGTGTTGGACACATCAGATTTTTTAGTATTTTTAAGAGTACATTTTTATGGATTCCTATTTTTTTCAATTTTTATTACTTTTCTATGTTCCAAATTATTTCATAAAATATTGTCGTAGATTTATTCATGTAAATACTAGACATGTGTATAATAGTTGTAACGGAAAGAGTTTGTATATTTACAAAAAGTAGTCATTCATTCACAAAAATGTACTTATATTACAATTATTTACAAGATATATAACAAGTAGGTAATCCTCGACCAAATAAAAATAGTATTACAGTAAATACATGTGCACTACCCTTCTAAATAGTTTTAAATGTTATTTAGTTTTAATTTTTGAGGTAGGCAAATTGTATGAACTCGTTTTATACAATAACAAATTTGCTATTTCTCAGGTAATACATAATTATACTTTTACTTCTAATTATAGAAATAATACCAACAGCACAGCTTTAAAGATCGCTCTCTTGCTCTAATTATATATTGGCCCTTGTTATACCGGGTGTTCTAAATTAAAACGTTACAGCTATATACCGCTTTTTATAAAAAAAAAACGTTTCAGACGAAAGTTCTATAGTTTTGTAGGGAAAAACTTTTGGCTGAAATCGTTTTTTATAGCTAACCATAATATGGCCAACTTTTTTTTCGCGCAGCAACATTTTCAAGTAGCTGTTACTCAAAAAGTAAAAGTCCAATAAAAAAAATATTTCCTTCAAAAGTTTCTTATTTTTTTATGTACTTTAAGAATATGTAAGAAAAAAATGAGATTCCCATTTAAAAAAACAAAGTTCACCTCGATATGGCCATATTATGGTCAGTTATAAAAAAATGAATTTAGCCAAAATGTTTCCCCTAAAAAACTATAAAACTTTTGTCTGAAACTTTTTTCTAAAATGCATATTTTCGGCGGTATTTAACTGTAACACTTTAATTTGAACACCCGGTATATATATTATAAGAAAAATATATTTTTCTTATAAATATAAATGAAGTAAAGGGTAAAGGTAAAATGTTTATTTTTGAAAAACTGTTACTGTTCGACAACCCTAATGACCTAAGATAAATATGTTTTTACTACAAGGTGTATTACTCCACATAAACTGTAATTACTATTAAAACAAATTATAAATAAAGTCTTACATACCTTTCTGTCTTTTGTAAACTGAGTATTGTTAAAAAATGCAGTAAGCATCTCGGTAATCATATCTTGGTTTACAATGGGTAAAACAGTCGAATCAACTTTTATAAATCCAGCTGACAAACTCATATTAATAATAAAATTAAAGCAATTAGGCATTCCAAACAAAATGGCTACCGGTGGGTTTTGACGAGTTATGATGTTGCAAAATTATGGCAACTCTGCAGGACTGGTGATTTGACAACGTCAATGAAATAGATAGTTATATAGATTGAACATCCATGTTTTTCAAAATAAACATAAACCTATGCTTTGAAGTAAAAATGTAGTTAATTATTTTTTTACTATATTCAAAGGCTGAAAATTGGTTTGCAAACACATTATTACTAAACCGATTCTAAATAATGATCACTTGCGAGGCAATATGGCCACCCGCTTTGAGCAATCTATATCTAATCTCTGTATATGTGTCATTGACAACAAGCCCCACAGGGTTGCCAAGTCTAAACTGTCAGTTCCCACTGGTCAGCATTTTGACAGGTCGTAGGAATGCTTAATTGGCAAAGACAAAAGAAATAAATTGAGAAATCACCAACAACGAATGTTAGGTTAGGTGGTGGTGGTGTCAATTTTAAGTGTCACTAAGATGTGCGTTCACTTCGACATTCTGTGTGTCGGTTTGTTCGTTGGCTTGGTTTTGTATAACAAAAAACTTCGACACAAGCTGATTGGTCTATTCCCGATGACGTATACATTTCAAATTTTAAATTTCAATTGGGCTTAATTTAAAAACTTTTGGCTTTTTTAACGAACTGATTATTTAGAATAACTTGTATAGCTACTAACTGTTACAATATAATTTATAAAACGGCATATCTCACATGTGAACATGGCCCATTCAAGGTTTTGCCAGACGGAATATAAAGTCCTCACAATATCTTAAAATCAAATTGATAAAAATATCTATACATGTATATTTTTTTACTAATTTTTATTATTTTGCTTTTTATTAGATTCGCTAAGGAAGTAAATGACTTATTTTCGATAAGTATTTTTGGGCAGTTAATCGTTAGTATATTCGTTATTTGTGCAACATTGTTTGAAATTACTTCGGTTTGTATTTTTTTATTTTTTATACTGTATGTCCTCCAAAAAGCCTACACCTTATTTTCTTATGTTAAATGTTTTTTGTTATTTTAGGGAATGTTTGAGAGTCGCATAAAAATATTGTCAATGTGCCTCTTTTTTATTTGCTTGATGACAGAAATTTTTCCGGTTTGTTATTTTTCAAATGAAGTTGTTGCTGAGGTAAATTCATGAACTATTTTTTTGGTGTGATAATACTAGAATTGTAAGTTTTATTGTAGAGTGATAAATTGACAACTTCTGCATATCAAAGTGACTGGCTGGACTGCTCTGCGGAATATAAACAAAACTTGCTGTTTTTTATGACCAGAACTCAGAAGGTGGTGAAAATGTATGCAGGAAATTTCGTTGAATTATCTTTGGATATTTTTATAAATGTAAGTTTATATCTTCAATGAGGTGAATCCGTAGTCCTCAGAAGGTCTAGATACCGATTGGCCACCATGATCAGTAGATTATGTTTTGGCTACACTGGTTTTTAGTTTGTATGTTCTGTAATACGTAAACGATGAGAATCTGCACTTTGAACTCAGCATAACTCACATGTGAACATGGCCTATTCTCCTAAGAATTTTAATCCTCGAGGCCTTTAAAAGCAGCGTTTTCACATTGACATGACATTTCTGATGGAAATCTTGAGAGAAATAAGTGCTCTCATATTTTGAAAATAACCCCCTTGCTGTTTTTTTTTGGCTACATTACTACTGTTGACAGAAATTTCCATCTAAATAGCAACACTGCCTGTTATTATACAGTGTGGAAAAGCCAAATGGAATAAATTCATTATTTCGATTACTGTACATATTTATAGAAAATCTCGAAACACGTCAAATTTAAATTATTAATTGACATTCTTTAAAGTGAAAATGTGATCCCTACCTTCAACCCCTTTTGAGTAACAGTTACAACCCCTAATTTTTTAAATGGGAAGTTATTATATATGAATAAATATATTAATATTGCTTGTAAAAGAACTTTATTTTCTCTGACATTTTTTACGTCCTCGTTGACAAGTATATATGAATCAATTTATGGGTGATTTATTTTTAATACATAATAGATTCTCGGCCTCTTAACATCAAACATAAAAATAACTAAAAACTTGCAACAAAACGCTGAACTGGTTTCTTAATTCTAGAAGAACGTCTAGGAACAAAACTTTTCACTTCATTTCGAATGATTGATTCTTCATTACGATTGGTAGGTTCTAAATTTTCTATTGATTTTGTTTGGTGTTCTGGAATATTATTTTCTTGTAAATTTTGTTCAATACCATGTTCTTGGTTTCCAATAGTTGTGGGTTGATCTGATGTTTTATTTTTCCCATTCGTTTGCTGAGGTAGTGTTTGAGTAGACTTCCCACAAAATAGCTTCTTTTGTAGAACTACAGGAGTTATTTGCATCTCAGATGGACATTTTAATGATTTCAACGTATTTGTTACATTTCGATTTTGGTCTGCTACTTGAGGTTTCTCAACTTGACATGGTCTCAATTGATTGTAGTGTCTTTTTATATTTAACCCATCGTCCAATTCAATAAGATAATGCAATTTCCCCAATCTCTGAGCTACTACACCATATTTCCAATATTGCGATCCTGTGTAGTGCCTTGATTGGACTCTCTGACCTACTTCATAAAATTTGTCAAATTTTGTTTGTTCGAAATTGGAAAAATATTTCTGCTGGTGTATTTCCATTAACCAAAGGAGTAGCTCTATATTTAAACAAGATAGCCTGTAGTTTTTGGTGTATTGTTCCGGGTTCATTAGACATACAGTTTAATTTATCTTTTAATGTTTGGCAGTAGCGTTCCACTTGCCCATTTGTTGCTGGATGGCCAGGGGCTATAAATCATTGAACTATTCCATTTCTATGACAAAATTCCTGGAATTCATCGGATTTGAATATTGAAGCGTTATCGCTAACTAATATCTCGGGCAACCCAAAACGACTAAACATTTCTCGTAGACGATTGATAGTACTAGAGGTGGTCGGGGGTTTAGAACACATCATAACTTCTGGCCATTTTGATCTGGCATCAACAGCAAGTAAAAAAAATGATTTAAAAATGGACCAGCATAATCTATGTGAACACGTTGCCAATTACTCACTGGAGGTTCCCAGTGATAAATAGGTGCTTTTACAGGATTCTTTTTAATATTACAACACTCTTTACAACATTTCACTATATTTTCGATGTCAGAATCAATACCTCTCCAATAACAGTGATTACGAGCTAAATTTTTCATTTTTACGATACCTATGTGTGTGGTATGTAATTCTTTTAATAAGGCTGATTGAAGTTTCTTCGGAATGATAACTCTGTTCCCTCTAAATAAAATTCCGTCCTGCAGGGAGAGTTTTGGATCACGAAGTGTTCCTATCGAGATAGATTCCTTTAGTTTTATAAGCTCAGGATCACGGTTAGTTTCTTGTGCTATTTCTTTAGCTGTAATTGTGTCTGTTGAAATTTCATTTATTGTATGTATGTTGAGTAAATGTACCTCGTCCACGACTCTTTCTTCATCTTTTTTGTATTTTATAGGATTTCTAGAGAGATAATCGACGTTGACGTGATCTGAAGATTTTCTATATTCGATGGAGTAGTCGAAACCAGAGAGGAATTGAGCATATCGTATCATTCTGGTAGCTGTTAGAGTTGGCAATTGTTTTGATGGATTAAATATTGTCATTAATGGTTTATTATCTACAATGAGTTTGAATTTCCTGCCATAAATATATTGAAAAAGCTTTTTAAAAGACCAGTAAATTGCTGTTGCTTCTCTGTCGAGCTGACTGTAATTTCTTTCAGCCTTTGATAATGATCTGGATATAAAAGCAACAGGTCTTTCCGTGCCATCTGGTAATTGATGTGAAAGCACTCCGGATATCCCATGAGGACTTGCATATGTGGCAAGAATAACTGGATATTCTGGTGTGAAAGGCATAAGAACTTGATCACCAGCGATTTCGGCCTTAGCTTTTCTAAAGGCGGTTTCGCATTCTTTAGTCCAACGAAATTTTGCATCTTTCCGTAGTAAATAGTTTAATGGATGAAGAATTTCAGAAACATTTCTTATAAATTTTGCATAATACATAACTAGCCCTAAAAATTGTTGAACTTCTTCGACATTTGTTGGAGTTGGAGCATTTAATACAGCTTTCACTTTGTCTTCAGATTTTTCCAAACCTCTTTCTGATATCACATGTCCTAAATATTTGATTTTTTGTTCTAGAAATTTGCATTTATTTTTGTTAAGGTGTAGATCGTATTCTCGTAACCTTTGTAATACTTTGATTCATTAGTCTTGATTTACACTCTTCCACAGTTGACCCCTGTATCAAGATATCGTCAAAATATACTGTAGTACCTTCTAAATCTTGAACTATCTGATCAATAATTTTGTGGAATTCATTTGGTGCTGTTTTTATACCAAAGAATAGACGCTTAGCGATATAAGTTCCTCGGTGAGTTGAAATTGCTTGAATTTTGGAACTTTCTTCATCAACTGGTAAGTGCAAATATGCCTTGAATACATCTAATGTACAAAAATATTTACCATTTTGCATTTTATTGAAAATATCTTCGATTTTTGGTATGGGGTACCGATTATTTTGAAGTTGCTGGTTCACTGTCACCTTGTAATCTGCACAGATTCTTATTTTTCCATCAGGTTTTGGAATGATAACCAGTGGCGTTCCCCATTCAGATAGATCTTTTTTTTCAATAATACCTTGTTGCTCTAGAGAATCCAGTTCCCGATCAACTTGGTCCTGTAGAGCATATGGAATTTTTCGAGGTCTAAAGAAAATTGGTTTAGCTTCAGGTTTCATCAATAGGGAACATTTATAATTGGGTATTTTCCCTACTTCTTGACAAAATACGTCTTGAAAATCTTGTAATATATCATCTAATGAATTAAGTTTTGGAGAATTTGAAGAAATCAGGCCTACATCATTGAAATTGATATTGAATTTCCTAATCCAACTTCTTCCCATAATAGGGCTTCCATAATTAGGTACAACATACAAGTCGCCATTCTGCTGCTTATCTTTGTAGGACACGTTAACTTCCACAACACCCAAGGGTTGGAATACGTGTTTAGTATACGATCGAAAATAAATGTCGGTCCTTTTTAGGGGAAGTTTAAGATTTAACTGTTCGAAATCTATTTGTGATATTATAGAGACCGGACGCCTGTATCACATTCAAAAGTCCAAGGTTTCTTATTAATTTGTAGTTCAACCATAAATTTGGGCTCGTTAATTTTTGAAGAAGTTCCGTTAAAGATATCGACAATTTGATTTATCGTGAAGTATTCACTGGTATCTGAAGAATCTGAGTCATAGTCAATATTATGTATGTTCGTATTTTGATTTAATTTATTCGTAATACAAACATCCGAAATGTGCCCTTTCTTTTTGCATTTTTGGCAGCGAAGTAGGTTATAAGATGTGCAGTCTTGGGTCTTGTGATTTCTTTTCCCACATCTTAAACATTTGCCATCGAGTCCTAATTTTTGAAAATTTATGGTATTCTTTCTCCTGTTTGCTGGGTATTCAGTTTGATGTTCTTTTGATCTGCTATCGTTGTGTCTTCTTCCAAAATTTGGGAATACGGCTTCAACTTTTTGAACAGTAGACGTCGAAGCACACTTATAGTCTTCTCTATTCTGTATTTTTGAAGCCTCAATCGAATAAGCAATTTGTAACATTTTGTCTATTGAGATATTTGACTGCTGTAAAATTTTTTCACGAATTTCTGTGTCATTTAATCCTCGAATGAACTGTGCCCGCAGAAGAAGATTGATAACGGATCCTGCACATTTTTGATCATTAAATTCGGTTTTTATGTCACACGTCTTGATTAGCTCTTTTAATGCAGCAACGTATGTAGTTAATGACTCACCAGGATTTTGGGTTCTTGAGAGAAATTTGTGTTGTTCCGTCAATATGTTCCTTTTGGGAGTAAGGTGGTTTCTTAAAAGGGTTATTAACTCTGTATAGTTTTTGTCTGCTGGAAGATCAGGAGCTGTTAAACTTGAAAGGATCTTATAATGTTTACTTCCTAGGCAATTAATCAGAACCATTACTTTAGCTTCATCTGTTTCAGGCTCATCTTTATTAAGTCCTTTGATTTTGAAAAAATTTTCTAGCCTCTGATGATAACTGTCGAAGTTTTCGGAGGTTTCATCAAAATGTTCGAAGGTTAAAATCTGTGTCTGAAGAAGATCTTTGACTGTATTTGAACGTTGTTGTAGATTATTTATTAGGGCACTTAGAGCATTTACCAATGGTGTTAGATCTTCTGCTGAAGTTGTTGACATAATGTAGCTTAGTATCGTGCAAACCTTATTTACCAGCGTCGCCAAAATAT